CCGGGTAAAACTATACCCGGACAGCCAATCTTTGAAACCGCCTGCCCTTCAAGCGCCTGATGGCTGCCCCTCCGAAGATAGCCACCTTTTCAGCCGCCCCTCCCGCAACTCCTCTCAAGGAGGAAATTCCAAATGAAAAGGTAAACAGGCGGCCTGCGCCACCAGAGAGGAACGAAAAGGCGTCCTCCAGAAAAAGGCGTCGCCCCACCCAACCTCCCCCCTGCGCCCTTTCGCTCCTCAGCACATGCGCTTCGGTAGTCACGGGACGTGACCCACAGGGAAGATGTCCCCCGGCTTGGTTAGGTCGGGAGCCATGCGTTCGGTTTGGCGCGTTCCGTGTGTGGGGCAGCAGCGATGGGGCAGCATAACCTCCTCCCAAGGAGATCGCTTCTGTTGTACTTGCTGCTGCAGGCGCTAAGGGCCATTTGTGGCTTATCAAGCGGTGGGGCTTCTCCCTTGCCTCTGGTCCTCAATATCTGTGCATTCTGGAAAGCTACAGAAACAGGTGCTGGTTGGCTTCCTTCAGGGTTTATTTGGGGGGTGGGGCTCGAAGCATGTGTAGAAGTTGCTCGTCCTAAGTAAATAATTTTTTTCTCCCCATTTCAAACAACAGTCCAGAAGCTTATATTGCCGTGAACTGGTCCTGGGCTGAGGTTGAATCGGCCTCTCTTTGTGACCTGGTCATCACAGTTTGCATAAATTTATAGGAATGTGCATTTACACTCCTGTGCCCGAGGAAGTGGATTCTGAGCCATGAGACCTCCTCACACAGAAAGGAAGCTGTTAATCAGTTTTGTCTCGCACCACCACCCCCACATGCTGGGACAGACTTAAAACATGGCTACTTCCATGTATTTGCTTGCATTGGGTATATTTTAGGACTGCATTTCATTCTGTCAAATGTGCTGTACTTTTTCTTGATTGTAGCTTGGAATACCTTACACTCAGGAGGCTCTGAACTGGATGCAGTAGAGAAAGGTTGTGGTCAGTGTGAGATTGAGCAATGTGATGGAAGTGTGGGGTATGGAGGAAGTCCGGATGAACATGGGGAAACAACGTTGGATGCCATGATTATGGATGGGTAAGAAATCTTTCCCCAAAAGGGAGAGAATCTGTTTTAGAATATTTTGAAACTAATACTGCTTTCTGGCTGGGAAATATTTGTGGAAGGATGCCTTCGTCCTTCCCCTCTTATGTAGGAAGATAAATGTTTTAATTGGGGAAATGCTGCAGAGAGACCAAGGTTTCCTGTCTGTGCCCTTCAGATGTGATGGACTACAGCTCTCATTGTTCTTGCCCAGCATGACCAAGTCTCAGAAAGCTTCTGTACACTAAAATTGGTAAAAGTGCTGTAGTGGTCAAACATTGGGGGAAAAATCAGTAGAACATTTTACTTATTAAACGTCTGTGAGAAAAAGATGTTTTTCTTAGGTTAAATTTCTAAGACTTAAAGTCAATTGCCAGTTGCTTTGTAATGGAAATAAACAGTATGTTCTAGCGTTTGTTTGTAGGCCTGTTTGCAGGGCTAAAGGTCACCCCGTGCTAAATCGCCCCAAAAGATCTTAAGTTAAGAACACATGCTTACAGTCTGTGCCTATCACTCAGATTGGGGCTATTTATATGGGGCTTCAGTTGTTTTCTAAATTTCTCTATCAATTTCATATTTGCCCATATTTTGTATACGTTTTGCTACAAATAATGTGTGTTTAGTCGTTTAGTCGTGTCCGACTCTTCGTGACCCCATGGTCATAGCTTTCCTCCCAAGAAGCGTGTGTTTGTGTGTTTAGTCGTTTAGTCGTGTCCGACTCTTCGTGACCCCATGGACCAGAGCACGCCAGGCCCTCCTGTTTTCAACTGCCTCCCGGAGTTGTGTCAGGTTCATGTTGGTTGCTTCGCAGACACTGTCCAACCATCTCATCCTCGGTCGTCCCCTTCTCCTCTTGCCATCCCCCCTTCCTAACATCAAGGTTTTTTCCAAGGACTCTTTTCTTCTCATGAGATGGCCAAAGTACTGGAGCCTCAGCTTCAGGATCTGTCCTTCCAGTGAGCACTCAGGGTTGATTTCCTTTAGAACTGATAGGTGTGTTCTCTTTGCAGTCCAGGGGATTCTCAAGAGTCTCCTCCAGCACCACAATTCAAAGGCATCAATTCTTCGGCGGTCTGCTTTCTTTATGGTCCAGCTCTCACTTCCATACATCACGACAGGAAAAACCATAGCTTTGACTATTCGGACTTTTGTTGGCAAGGTGATGTCTCTGCTTTTCAAGATGCTGTCAAGATTTGTCATCGCTTTCCTCCCAAGAAGAAGGCGCCTTTTAATTTCAGGGCTGCTGTCTCCACCTGCAGTGATCATGGAGCCCAGGAAGATAAAATTTGACACTGACTCCATATCTTCCCCTTCTATTTCCCAGGAGGTGATGGGACCAGTGGCCATGATCTTAGTTTTTTTGATGTTGAGTTTCAGACCATGTTTTGCACTCTCCTCTTTCACTCTCATTACAAGGTTCTTTAATTCCTCCTCACTTTCTGCCATCAGAGTGGTATCATCTGCATATCGGAGGTTGTTGATATTTCTTCCGGCAATCTTAATTCCGGCTTGGGTTTCTTCCAGTCCAGCCTTCCGCATGATGTATTCTGCATATAAGTTAAACAAGCTGGGGGACAATATACAGCCTTGCCGTACTCCTTTCCCAATTTTGAACCAATCAGTTGTTCCATA